GTTTATAAGACACAGGTACAGTCAGGGATGTAGTATAAAGTGTATGTACTGGACAGGTACAGTCGTGGATGTTGTTTATAAGACACAGGTACAGTCAGGGATGTTGTTTATAAGGCACAGGTACAGTCAGGGATGTTGTTTATAAGCACTGGTACAGTCAGGGATGTAGAATAAAGTGTGTGTACTGGACAGGGACAGTCACGGATGTTGTTTATAAGGCACAGATACAGTCAGGGATGTTGTTTATAAGGCACAGGTACAGTCATGGATGCTGTTTATAAGACACAGGTACAGTCATGGATGCTGTTTATAAGGCACAGGTACAGTCAGGGATGTTGTTTATAATGCACAGGTACAGTCAGGGATGTTGTTTTAAGACACAGGTAGTACAGTCAGGGATGTTGTTTATAAGGCACAGGTACAGTCATGGATGCTGTTTATAAGGCACAGGTACAGTCATGGATGTTGTTTATAAGGCACAGGTATAGTCAGGAATGTTGTTTATAAGGCACAGGTACAGTCAGGGATGTTGTTTATAAGACGCAGGTACAGTCATGGATGTAGAATAAAGTGTGTGTACTGGACAGGTACAGTCATGGATGTTGTTTATAAGGCACAGGTACAGTCATGGATGTTGTTTATAAGGCACAGGTACAGTCATGGATGTTGTTTATAAGGCACAGGTACAGTCATGGATGTTGTTTATAAGGCACAGGTACAGTTGCAGATGTTGTATACCAGGCACAGGATACAGTCATAGATATACAAAATGTACGCTGTAGTAAATGTTACTTTTTAGAGATAATAGCGATTCATACAATGGATTTAGGCATAGTCAAGCTTACATATATTCACTAAGTCAGTTATCGTTAACGTTTTGGCGATTACAGCCTTCCATAAAGTAGATTTATTTAAAATCAGAAATTTTCTTTCCTCCATATTAACACATTTCGTATTTTTCATTAAAAAACAATCCATACTTATTCAACAACATATAGTTTAATACGTTGAACAATCCGGAAAATCTTGCTCTGACATTCCGTTTTTGATATTAGTGAGCAGGTACAGTCATGGATGTCCGGTACCAGCATTGCCGAGTACAGTTGCGGATGATAGCTGACAGCCACTGTTGCTATAACTTCTTTAAAGTTTAGAGGGACGAAGTCCGATGAACACTCCATATTTTATGTGTATTTGAATGTTATTCACAATAATAAATTTGACACCACATCATAACTACATGTATATATCAGGTTAAACAAATCAGTCATCCCTTGAAATATCAATGGGACTGATATGACATGACCAATACATACATGTATCACAATAATAAATTTGACACCACATCATAAATACATGTATATATCAGGTTAAACAAATCAGTCATCCCTTGAAATATCAATGGGACTGATATGACATGACCAATACATACATGTATCACAATAAATAGTTACAGAACCTACATGTCTTACAATACTCTGTAGAAGGGTGAATTAAAAAAAAATGACCACCAAACTGAATTTTTTTGGCAAAATTCAACTACTCATAACATATTTTTCACTTATATCATCATATTGCAAATGCATTCTAGTTTAAAATCCTGAAGTGGCAATAGAATAGACAATTGGATTAAAAAGTTTCAGAATTTTTATTAGTAAAATTTCTTTTGAAAAAAGAAAATATCATTACACCTTAACAGACTTTCTAAAATACATAATCACAAGAAATTATAGTTTTTTTATGCTTCAAAATGGTAAAAGGGGTATAAATGATTAAATCTAGACCTTGAATGAGTATCTTCTCTTGTACATATGACAAAAAAGTGGCTTTTTGATTGTTATTTTACTTTTTTTTTTTCAATTGTGGTTTGAAAAGTTTTAATAAGAAAAAAATATGAAGCAATAAAATTCCTCAAAATTCACTTTTTTTCAGTTCAAGTCAATTCTTTAAATCTAAGCCAAAAAAGAATTGTTATATACGAGTTCTCTTACGAAAAATACTAGATTTTGAAGTGACCCTATGTTACATTATTGTGTTGCACTCCTGACATCTGATATGTACATATGTATTTTATTTAACATTGTTTTAAAAATTATAACACACAATAACCCATTCTTACTTTGTAAATCAATTTGTCATGTTGATATTTTTCACTGTTTACAGGAGGTTTTTCATATTTTGAAGACCTTAAAACATGATTATTTGCAAACTGTAATATAATTTAATTTTGTTTGTATTCTAGCCTCTGATTGGTTTATATCCAAAAAGGAACACAAATTATTTCTGTATAACCTGGTTTGGTATGGGGACACACCCCCCTGACAACCAGCTGAATCATCTGTATCCATACAATCCTCTCATTTCCAGTCCTCGGGATTCATGGAAAATTCCAGATTTAATAAATGTACCTTTAACTTCAAACAATAATTCGATCTTACCACATGTAAACAAGCTGCTAGGCCTATGCATCAGTTTTTACCTCCCCTCGCTTCCCATCACTTCCGTTACTACGGTTGTATTATTGAGCGGCAAATTTGAACTAATAAAAAGCAACGAAATTTTACACCCATAGTTATTTAATGATTTTAAAATTAAATTATAAGGAATGACTCTAATTCTTGGCCAAATTATTCGAGTATAACCTGGTTTGGGTCAGTTTACGCTGTTTTATAATCCGCTTCGCGGATTATAAAACAGCGTAAACTGACCCAAACCAGGTTATACTCGAATAATTTGGCCAAGAATTAGAGTCATTCCTAAAATATATAAATTGTATTTAAAATATTATGTGAAATGATGAAAACTATTCCCTGAATTGACTGTAAAATTTCTGTAATTTGTTGATAGACATAGTGTTTTGAACATCAAATAGTATCAAGCATTTTTTTTCAACTTATTTTTTAGTAAAGATAGTTAAGAAGCATCGGTAATTATAAAGCAGTTTTGTTGCACTCCTGACTGCAGTAAAGTTTAAAATAAAAACCATAGAACACAAAAATTCATAAAGTGTGGGCAACATCAAGTGGTAATGAAATTGTGCAATATTTATAGTCCAATACTTCATAATTAAAACAGATGAAAGTATTTAAAATTCGCATTTTATCTGGAATTATACCCTATTTTATGCCAAAAAACTAGCTTAAATGTATATTTAGAAGATAAAATATATTTTAAAGCATATTTTCCTTTAGAAGACAAACACAGTAACCCACCAGAAAAATTCTACTCATCATTTTTTCTTTATTTTTATTCTTATTGGATGATTTATAATTCTAACATATTTGTTGCACTCCTGACCAAAAGCATTGGGGCCTTTAAAGTAGAATTGTGAAGTGAAAATTACATAAGAACTTGTTCTGTTGTTTCAGTGAAGTTGAGGAGGAATTACTTGAATTTTATGACAATGTTTTAGTGTGTTTATTTTTTACGTTCATTAAAAAAATCACAAAAAAGATAAAAACACATCTGAATTGATAAAATTGAAAAAGGAAGGATTTTAATAATAAAACTGTCAATAATTTAGCATTAAATTATACAAAAAGATCATTATTAATTAATGAATACTTCTAAGCATGAATAGAAGTCTTTTCGTCAGACAACTTGAATCTTTAAAAAAATGTGTTGCACTCCTGACCATAGAAATATGGATCTGAAGCACAGACAGATCCTGTAATTGATAAATCTATTTGGTAAAAATGTTCTTTGTGTCTTTATTTTCCAAAATAAAAATCAGGTAATCATATAATGATAACAGTTTTTTCATGCTTGGGAGCAAAACATCAAATGTTGCACACCTGACATTTTTGGGTATGCACATATAATTGACTCTCATTAATGCTGCTTGTGATTTATATAACATTTTTAAGTTTTAAAATGTATATCAGTTATTATTTTACACTTCCAAAATTCTTTTTTGTCTTAATTTTCTATCAGAATTTTACAATTGATGTTTTTTTGGCAACACTACATTTTTTCTGTTGCACTCCTGACATGGTATAACATTTTTTTAAACATCAGCCATGACCACAACCTGATTAAACAAAAGTTATGACAGTCCACATTTAAAGCTCAATACTTTGAATATTATCAGGAAAGTCTTTATTTCAACATGAAGCATTATTTTTTATTTCACAGAGCTCCAAAAAATATTGAAATTTCAAAATGTCACAAAAAGGTGTTGCACTCCTGACAATTTTAGCATCATTTTAGGGCATAACTTTTTTGTTAATTGAGATATCAATGAGATATTTGGCAGGTATTTAGACACTATCTAAAGACATATGCTGAGACATAGAAATCTATTTTCATTGCCTGTATTTTTAGTGTGGGTTGATAAATATGCGTTTGGTCATTTTTTTTTTAATTCACCCAGAACTCATTTCACAATCAACATAGTACATGTGTATGGGATCAATGAACAATAAAGAAAGGAATTCTACTGTACTACTTCAGCATAAAAAGTCATTATTACTGTATTTAAAACAAAGTAAAATTTACTTCATATAATTTATGAAACATGACTAGTGGCAATATACATGTACATATATCTAATATCAATAAAATTCCAAACAATCCAACAAATGGATTTAAAATACTGAGTTCTTTATGCATTTAATGTAAGTAATTTCATAAATATGTAAAAGACTAAAGTATGATTTTAATTTTTCAATTTTCTATTAGCAAACACATATATTGGTAAAAATATATAAAATTCACACATAAAATTTGTCAACAAGTGAAAAGTAAAATTCTGCTTGCAAATAATACTGCAATTAACAAATTTTTATGAACGGGAGGGAAAGTTATATTCATAGAACATCTTCATACAGGTGGATGGAGAAAGTTTGATCGTAAAATTGATACAGACATTAAAATAAACAAATATTAAAATTTAAACTTCATCAGTTAAAACAGGATTGAAAAAAAAAAACAAAAAAAAACAATACAGTACCAGTAGACGATTATTTCTTTGTAGTTTAAGCTTCAATCAGAATCTCATCTTTTTGCCTTTTGAAAATCACGGCAATTTCTTGCTTTTTAAAATTGTAATAATTAAACTTTAAAAATTTGGGGAAACAGTCATATTACTTACCCTGCAAAGAACTAAAATTTTACATATTACCTCATTTTAAAAAGTCACACTCTCACCCATTAGAGTATTCAATTGCATACACATCATATTTAACATACTCAGTTACAATAATCAATAAATATCATGTTTAGTATCACATTCAGATCTGGATTCCATTTTCCTAAAGAACTTATGACCAAGACCAAAATTTTAGCTTGTTCTTAAATCTGTCATACTTAGAAATCCTGTGAAATTTGTTTATCTTTCAATATTTTTACAAAATAGAAAAAATAATGCTCAAAAAGCATGCTTTTGAATTAATTTTAAAATAACACAAAAACAAAAAACAAGTAATTTGGCAACATATTTCTCAGTCTTAATCATAGTTCCTTTTGTAAAACAGATCCCTGAGCATATTGTATGTCCTTCAATTTAAATATCAATGTTATAAAAGACCAAGCTCAAGTTTGAGAAACATTTTGAGCGATGGATTTTCAATTTTTTCTATTTCTTTTTTGGCACGTTCATTTCCGTCTTTCTTGTAATAGTTCCTCAATTCATTTGCATACATGATCCACACACAGTTTGCACATCCACTCATACAGCAGTCCACCGGGGGTTCTGGGGGCATCCCCTTACCCAGCACAATGTCTTTAGAACAACTAGGGTTAGATTTGCAAACATTCTCATTGACCAAAGCACTTAATCCAGGGTCATCCTCTTCCTTTCTGGCTACAATGCTATCATGAGTTTTACTGTTATATTGAGAGTTTGAAACTAACTTGTCTTTATTACTGGATAGATCACTTGAACACTGTGTTGTTACTTTTTCTCTAAGGGGTTTGCCACTAGCTTTCCTGACTTGTTCACAATGGCATCTGTTGTGTTGAATAATTTGGTTGGCATGGCCCTGGGACAAGCTCCTTAATGACTGGAACTCTAAATGCTTCACTAAGTAGACAACACAACCTCTAAAGAATCTCATTTCCTCTACAATAGAATAAAAATACATAACTCATACTTTAATACAACAATTAACAGCAAAGTGTTTCAAGGTTTAAATTCTGTAAGGTTCCATTTTTCTCTTTCAACAAATCCAAACAGAGGGAACAAAATTATGATGGTGATCTTGCTGACCGCATTATTTTGTTAATTATAGAAATATTACCAGTTTACTTATAAGTTGTAGCTAAATTGCATGTACCCAATTCTAGCACGAATAATCCTTAAAAATGCCAAGAAGATTTCAGGAAATCAAAACTCATGAGCCATCTCATCAATTTCACTTCTTATACCTACTGTTATTGTAAACGAATATTATAATAGGTTCTGCTTTAAACATACAAAGAACACTTGAGTACATTAGAGTACTTAAATTTATAGTATGCATGCAGGTTAATTTCTTCTTTTTTTTTAATAAGGTTCATGTTGTCTTGAATATGAGCTCAACATTTGTATTTTTCATGAAAATATCTTATATTCATTTATCATGTCGAACTGTCCTCCTCCCCGTCGCTCAATTAAAGGGGCTCTTAGTGTACAGGTGTAGTGCCAGCAGAGATACAGTCTGCAGCTGACAAAAAAGAATTTATGAAGATAATTTTATATACTCTACAGCAACAAGGAAATAGATACTATGATACACAAGCAAGTTCCAGACTGTCATTACACATGGTATAGTCTCGAAAATATAGATGGCTTAGCTGATGCAATAGTAATACTTCTTAACATGTTATTTTCACTTATGCTCTCTTCAGTTGTGAGCAGTTTGTTTTGTTTTTTTTTTAACTTAAAAAACTGACCTAGGCCTACTTACATCAAACGTCAGATGCGTACAGGCGTAGGCACTGTGATCATATTAATTAAACTTGGCGTGCTTTTCAGCCAAAGACCTCATTATATCCGGGTATAATCCTTTATCCGTGTAGACTGTTATGTAATTTATGTACCTTCATATCCTCTCCTGAACAGTCAAGAAATATTCATTCAAAATTTTCAATCCCTCTCAGCCTTTGGCTCTAAGAATATAACTTTGTTGACAATTTTGGTTGACCTTAGCGCTGGCTGCAAATTAACCGGAAGTTTGACTGGCGTTATAATCCCAAAACTCAATTTTCCGAAAATTCGCGTGTTTGACTGTTTCACTACTGTTCATCAATTTACATAAATGGGGAAAATTGGAAAATTACAGAAGAGCAGAAAGCACAAAAAGTTAAAGAATGTAGGTTCTGAATATGCCAGTGAGTACAGAGGGTAAGTTAATTCATATTATACAGAAATAAACATGCTAAGAATAATTTTAGCTCGAATTTCCTCAACAATTGTTAACCATTTATGATTATGTAGATGGATGTTTTCGCACTTACACATGATATCGTGATGTTTTTTTTAACCTTAGAATTGTATGTCTTGATACCATCCAGTACATGTGATTTTATAGGAAGCCTTCCAATTTAGCACCAACAAGTATTGAACAAGATGTACCCAAGAAAGTGAAAAACATCATAAAATTTCAAGGAAAAACACCTAGACAAATACAGAAAGAATACATACAAAATAACAGCAAGAAAGGTATATGATTGAGTATGTTATATTTCATTATTCTTGACGTGTAGATCAGTAAGTGATCAGTGTAGATTAGTGACAATAGCTTGATACATCGGGAGGTACTGCAATCCTGGGGTGGAGAGTGCTGGCTGTGGTTGGACTCCAATTCATCTGATAAAAGTGTTGTAGATCTAGAAATGGAAAGTAAAATGGGGGTTGGATATGTTTATCTATAAATTAAGACACATTGTGTTTGGCAAATGCAGAAAAGCTTTAACATAAAACAGGAACCTAAATACCAACTTAGTATATATATAGGTCCCTTAATTAAATAAATTTTATGGTATAATTACATTTAAACAGAACCTTGTTAAAGACTTGAAAGAGATTTTGGAGGCTCAGATCCTCATGTTGACTTTGAATGGAACCTCTTACAGTTGTATGACTGTTTAATTAGCAAATGGCAGAATTGTTGTCAATATTAAAGTAAAATATACATAGATGTACACAAAAATGTATTTGAACCCCTTCTAATTTGTTGATTAATATTATACCAGAGATTTTTTCCCCTTTTATTTTAATTCACTTGCTGTCTCAATTAGAATGTCACATATGAATAGATTAATCTTTCTTTTCTGTTACATGTAAGTCAAATTATTATAATTACAACAACCTGACTGTCCTTAATACTGTATCGAGTACATGCCGGTACACTTGAATCCTAAGTTATCCTGTCTATAAGATTAATGGTGATGTAATTTTTTTTCCTGCTTTAATTAGTCAGCAGACAAAACAATTAAATATTAATTCCATTTGAAATCATAAGTTAAATACATGTAATAAGATATATTTCATAACTTTTATTACCTTTTTGAAAACACTATGAAACTTTTGGGATGTGGATAAAAAAAATGTGAAGTTGACCTCAATGTCAGCCCTTTTTTTTTTAAAGATAACTAAAACTCAGCATTTAAAAGTGACGAATTATATGATTACACAATATTAATACTATACTAATATAATGTTGCACTAGTCTAACTCTTGCTTTGTAAACAAATGTCTTGACATTTGAGTATACATGCTCTATCTAGGAAAGAAACCAATTTACATGGAGCGGGGAATGACAAGACCTATGGCTGAGGCTCCAAAATTTGTACAAGGAAAGAGAGAAAAGACTAAAGATTTTATGAAAAGAGTTGAAGTAGAGACAAGAAAAGTCCTACACCGACACCAGTTGTCCCAAAAATTTAAGGTTAGTTTATAAGAAGTAGAAATTGTAGTTCTTTGGACATAATCATGGTGACCAAGTCACTATGGAAGGTGTGTGGTTTATTCTTAATGCAGGTTTAATTAAAGGATGATAAATGGGTGATAAATTGCAGTTTAGATGAAATAAGATTTACATGTAAACAATGACCATATTTCAAGAACAAAACATGTCAGATTTGTGATCGATAGATAAATGTAAACCATCGTGGTGTCAAAATACCATCGTGGTGTCAAGTTACTGTAAAAATACATGTATATGACTGAAATGTTTTAAAGATTATTTTTCAGGACATATGTTTATTAATTTTCATTAATTTTTTTTATATTTATTTAATTAAATATAGAATGCATTAATGTTATTTAGGCATATTAACTATTTTAATTGAATTTGAGGTGTAGCTATAAAGTACATTATATTTCACTGACATGTGTTACACCAGTAATGATTTACTTTGATGTTTCAGATGGATATGGATGCATTAGAAGCGGGAGAAATTAAAAGACACAAGAAAAAGATCACCGAAAAGCAAAAAGAGTAAATATGATTTTACTCATTAAGATAAGAAACATTTATGACTACTTTTTTTTATATGTCTGTCTTAAGACGGGACTATGGCATGTCAAATGTTGCAATATTCGATCTTTTCCATTTGTATTGTATAATTTTCTCTTTGTATTGTACAATTTTCCATTTGTATTGTAAAAGTTTCCATTTGTATTCTATAATTTTTCATTTGTATTCTATAATTTTTCATTTGTATTCTATAATTTTTCATTTGCATTGTAAAATTTTTATTTGTATTCTATATTTTTCATTTGTATTCAATAATTCTTCATTTGTATTGTATAATTTTTTATTTGTATAGTATAATTTTTTATTTGTATTGTATAATTTTTATTTGTATTGTATAATTTTCAATTTGTGTTCTTTAATTTTTCAATTGTATTGTATAATTTTTATTTGTATTGTATAATTTTCCATTTGTATTGTATAATTTCTCATTTGTATTGTAAAATTATAGAATACAAATGGAAAATTATACAATACAAATGGAAAATTATAGAATACAAATAAAAATTATACAATACAAATGAAAAATTAAAGAATACAAATTGAAAATTATACAATACAAATAAAAATTATACAATACAAATAAAAAATTATACAATACAAATAAAAAAATTATACAATACAAATAAAAATTATACAATACAAATAAAAAATTATACAATACAAATAAAAAATTATACAATACAAATGAAGAATTATAGAATATAAATGGAAAATTATACAATACAAATGGAAAAGATCGAATATTGCAACGTTTGACATGCCATACGGGACATATTATGGTATGGTGTTCATGTTCGTCTGTCCATCTATCTGTCTGTCTGTTACCTTTTTTGTGTCAAACACATAACTTTAATACTATGAGGCCTAGAAAAAATTAAACTTTGTCAGCTGATACATCTTGGGTTGAAGGTGTGTCACACATTAAAAGTAGGTTGCTTTACCTTTAATTAAGATGATTAGGCCAAATAAGGCAAAATCCTGTCTGGCTCATAACTAGAAAAATAATAATCTTAGAATTATCAAACTAGGTCAATTAACCATAATGCATCTTAGATAGAAGGTGTGTCATACCCTACATAAAGGTCACTGTGACCTTTAATTAAGATGAAATTTTAAAAAAAAACCTATGTTTTTAAGTTACACAATCCCAACAGATGTAAGAGGTGTTCCTGTAACTGTATTAAAATATGTTGTGGCTATAGTCTTTATTTTCGAAAATAATTTGGTATAAAGCTATTAAAATTAATTTTATGTTATATAATATTATATCTTTATTTCAATTTTTACATCTCAACAACCAAATTACAGAGGGTCATGTCTCACAAAGATGAGTTTTACAGTGTAAGAATAAACATAATGATAAGTGTTCTGATGTTTTATTAGGCTGTGGCAATGTTCATCGTTTATGAAAATACATGTACAGTGAACAAAGCAGCAGATGGGCATTTGTGAAACTCCAACACAACCAGTTGAGAAATAAATGATGTGTTATTTGTTCTAATTGATAAATACACCATAGGAGATGCACATCAAACATTAGGAATGGGGGAAAAACCATTGAAATTTTTGCACCAAGGTTGACATAATTTTCTTCTATGCACTGTTCAATATGAAAATTAAATGATATTTGACAGGCATACCATGGCAGTACACTTTATTTATTAACTAGCAAACATTTAATACAGTCAGGCCTTGGTATCTCAAACATGGCAAGACTGTTGTAAAACTTGAAGATGTCCCAGATGTTGAGATATTGATTCCAGAGATTGATATATTGATCCCAGATGTTGAGATATTGATTCCAGAGATTGAGATATTGATCCAAGAGGTTGAGATATTGATTCCAGAGATTGAGATATTGATCCCAGAGGTTGAGATACTGATTCTAGAGGTTGAGATATTGATCACAAAAATTGAGACATTGCTGCCCGAGGTTGAGATATTGATTCCAGAATTTGAAATATTGACTTCATAGTCAGATCAAGGCCACTGACTCACTTTATCACTGATATATGAAATTATGCTATTCAAGTTATCAAAGTTCAACTTTTTAACAATAGAAAGGTATACATGTACTGGTATTTTTGCTTTCTTTATATTTCTGAATATTTTAAAAGTATCCCTCTGTTTTCCCATTTGCTGGTATTAAAACACTAATTACTGATATTACAACACTGATTACAGGTATTCAAACACTAATTACTGATATTACAACACTGATTATGGGTATTAAAACAATGATTTAAACACTGATTACTAGTATTAAAACACTGATTACTGTTGTTACAACACTGATTACTGATATTACAACACTGATCACTAGTATTTAAACACTGATTACTGATATTACAACACTGATTACTAGTATTTAAACACTGATTACTGATATTACAACACTGATTACTAGTATTTAAACACTGATTACCGATATTACAACACTGATTACTGATATTACAACACTGATTACTGAAATTACAACACTTATTACTGATATTACAACACTAATTACTGGTATTACAACACTGATAACTGATATTACAACACTAATTACTGGTATTACAACACGATTACTGATATTACAACACTGATTACTGATTTTATAACACTGATTACTGATATTACAACACTCATTACTGGTATTACAACACTGATTACTGGTATTACAACACTAATTACTGGTATTACAACACCGATTACTGGTATTACAACACTAATTACTGGTATGACAATACGAATTACTGATATCACAACAATGATTACAGTATTCAAACACTAATTACTGATATTACAACACTGATTACTGATATAACAACACTAATTACTGGTATTAAAACAATAATTACTGGTATTACAACACTGATTACTGGTATTACAACACTGAATACTGATATTACAACACTAATTACAGGTATTAAAACACTGATTTCTGATATTAAACACTGATTACTAGTATTAAAACACTAATTACTGATATTACAACACTGATTACTGGTATTACAACACTGTATACTGATATTACAACACTGATTACTGATATTACAACACTGATTACTGATATTACAACACTGATTACTGATATTACAACACTAATTACTGGTATAACAACACTGATTACTGGTATTAAAAACTGATTACTAGTATTAAAACACTAATTACTGGTATTACAACACTGATTACTGTTATTACAACACTAATTACTGATATTACAACACTGATTACTGATATTACAATACTGTTTACTGATATTACAACACTAATTACTGATATTACAACACTGATTACTGATATTACAATACTGTTTACTGATATTACAACACTAATTACTGATATTACAACACTGATTACTGATATTACAACACTAATTACTGATATTACAACACTGATTACTGATATTACAATACTGATTATTGGTATTACAACACTGATTACTGATATAAAAACACTGATTACTGTACTGATACTAGCATTAAAATACTAATTACCGGTATTAAAACATTGATTAATTTTCAGGACATTGCTTTATGACAGTAGTTATTTGACAGTTACTTATATTCTGTAGGAGATTACAACAGAAAAAGCAAAGAAGGTCTGAAAAGAAAAGAAAGAACTTGAATGAATTTGATGATTTTGAAGGTAATTTTGTAATGATTGAAATGAAACTGTGCTAGTGATTCCTTATTAAAGGGGCACTTGCTTATGATCTTTAGCCTAGATTTTTATCAAATTGGTTAAAAATTTTAAAGTAATCATTATTGTAATACGTATTTCAGATAGAGTAAAGTTTGGAGAGGTGGCTAATGAGCCACCATCCCTCACAGCTCTACCCAGAAAAGCCGTCAAGGAGGAATCTGTGCCCAGGGTGAGTCACTGAGGGGGTACCAAACTTTAAGATTGTATAGAACTTATGTTAAGGATAAGTCTTGGGGAGGGTCTACTAAAGTTTCCATCTATTTGATGTATACATTTTTAAATAACTTAAACAGTGACAAGTATTCATGATTTATCAGTTCTCACCTACTATGGAAAGTGAATTGAAGAAATGTTTATATAAGACCGCGGAACATCAACTGGCAAAATTGGAAATATGCAGCTTACATCATTCCCATCTGTTACAGTCAAAACATTTCATGATAGACAATGAAATGGGCAGGTACAATTCAACACGGATGTCCGAGAAAACATTGGATTGAAATTGCAATTCGAAATTCATTTTCAATCCACCTCAGCTACGCTAGAATGCACAGTGTTACTGATTGACCCAGAAGACAAATAATTTGAAATATCTATAAATCAGAATTTTCTATCCCAGGTTTTTAAAGAAATGTAAAGGGACAAATATTTGATTTCTGTTTGGAATGAGTATGTGTGTGCTGGGTTAGTTTGGACAACCCCTCCCTTTTTTTGTTTGTCAAACATTTTTCAGAGAAGAAAAAAACTAAAAAATAAAAGCTCTTGTCATCCTAGAAATTAATATAATCTTCATGTGAAAGCATGATCTGACTTGACAATTTTTGAAAGCCCCCCCCCCCCCCCTTCTAGAATCAAATGGCCGTCCCCTGAAAAAATAATCTCTGTCTTCTATGACTTTGATGTGTCCTGAATATTATAGGCTAAAAACTCATATAAATATGAATTTCAAACAACATGTATTTGGGAATTGAATTTATTCGTCCTTTGGATCATACATGCACACTTAAGGTTTGAAAACAGCTCAGGTGGATTGAAATTGAAGTTCAAATTTTTTTCAGTGAAGAAGAAAATAAATAATGTCTTTTGTCATCCTACAAATAATAAATATATTCTTTTATGTGATGCATAACCATAAATAATCTGATTCAACAAAATTTGCCAGCCTTTCCCCCCCCCCCCCCCCCCCCCCCCGAATCAAATGACCGTCCCCTAAAAGAATATAGCTACTATAACTTTTGTGTGTCCTCAAATATTGGATAGAAAATTGTTATGCATTAATTTCAAACTATACGTATTTGGGAACTGAAATTATTTGTCATTTGGATTATACATTATAACTTTGCAAAAAATAACTCAGGTGGATTGAAAATGAATTTCTAACTGCAATTTCAATCCAGTGTTTTCGCAGACGTCCGTGTCAAATTGTACCCGCCCATTTCATCGTTTATCATCAAGTGTTTGACTTTTTGCCACAGATGGAAATGACGTAAGCTGCAAATTTCCAATTTTGCCAGTTAATGTTCCGCGGTTTTATATTTATAAACATGATATTTTAGGGTCTGTAGGTGGGCCAAAAGAAGGTCAAATTCCCAGTGCTAAAAAACAGGTGTTTTCCCCAATTTTTGCTATGATATTCCAAATGAAAAAAATCAAAGGAGTGTAGCCTTATTGTTCATAAATCTCCTTCACAAGCCAACAGATTACAATTTTTGCTCATGGTAGGATGCATATGGACCCATATAGGTCATTCAAAGTTACACAAAAAGCTATTAAATCATCTAAAATGTAGGAAAAAAGAAAATAGAACATGCTATAGTAAAAATATTTGCATTTTGACACCAGGTGACTGTTAAGGCCCTTGGGTAGTATGAACAAAGCTAAAAAACAGTTTTGGCAAGCAAGAATTAAGGTTTTTTTCCAATATGTATAAAATTTGCTACAGTGAGGATTTCTTTTATAAACTACATTAATATATACATTTATGTAATATTTATTTCAGCCTGGGAAAAAATCCCTACTCCTGAAGGAGATTATTGCAGACAATGCTGCTGTTACCCCCTCAAGTGTAGGATCATCATCCAAGCGTGAAATTGGACAATCAATAAAGCGTAAACATATGTCACTGGCACAACAAAGTATTATGGACAGAGAAAGAGAGAATGCAATAATGTTATATAGACAGCAAAGACAGAAAAAATTAAAAACCTTCTGACACAATGTAGTTTGTTTTTATTTGGTCATGTAGACAAAGCCCTATAGTGAGCTTTTCTTTCTTTTTTTTTGAATTTTAGCTTGCCTGAGCCAGAAGGTCAGAAGTGAGCTTCTCCAGTTGAAGAGTATTTGGTGTCCATCTGTTTGTCTGTCATCTGTAAACTTTTCACATCCAGAATCCCTAAGCCAAATTCAACCAAACTTTCTAAAAAGCATCCTTGGGTAAAGGCAAATGAAGGGCCTTGTCTTTTTTCAAGGGGAGATGATTAAGAAATTGTGAAAATATGGTAGAGTCATTTGAAAATCTTCTCAAGAACCTCTTGACAAGAAAAAAAAATGAAACTTGTGTGAAAGCTTTCAGACATAGTGTAGATTCAGTTTTGTTTGGTGCATGGTCCCAGAGGTAGGGTGGGGCCACAATAGGGGATCAAAATTTTACACGCGAACATAGAGGAAAAAATGTTTCAAAATCTCCTCAAGAACACCAGGACCATGGTCAGTGATAAAAACGTGCAGACATTCTCTGGTATTGCAGATTCAAATTAATACAAACCATGGCACATGGGGGTAGGGTGGGGCCATCAAAGTGTTACATGGGAATGGGAAAGTGATATAAACATCCTCAGGTAATGAAGATTCAGATTTGTTTTATCAATCCCGGGAATAGAGTTTGGCCAAATTAGACCAAGGTTCCAAATAAGAAAATAAAGATACATATATATATATATATATATATATATATATATATATTAGGGCTGCGCAATAATATCGATATTCCGGTATATTATGTTAACAAAAAATATCGTATTGCGATAAGTATTTCCAGTACCGATAAACCGACAAACTGCCTGGGCTTTAGATTTCTTAAATAAAATATGAAATTTAATATGTCAGAAACGTTTTCAATCGTGCCAAACAGTACCGAAGGGTAAGGTTGCTGTTGTATGGTTGCTTTTCGTTCCAAAACTGTAGTGAAATCAACAAAAACTTTTTCGTAATAATGTATTTTTATAGTTTTACACACTCTGCTTATAGAGGGAGGTTTATGAAATAAGAAAAAGAGCATTTTAACTGTTATTGAAAATATGCAATAATTATGCATATCGCATACAGATTGAAATATGGCAATATATCGCATTACGAAATTCCCAGCCGATACCCACCCCTAAATATATATATATATATATATATATATATATATATATATATATATATATATATATATATATATATATATATATATATATATATATATATATATATATATATTTATTTATTTATTTATTTATTTATTTATTTATAGCACTAATAATGACCAACGACACGAACAATAGAAATTTTTAAATTTTCGGAACGCCCTGTCCCTTCCTCAGGACAAAGAAAAAAGTTAAGAAGTCATAAAAACAAAGGAAACAGAAAAACAGAAAACAAGATGTGTTTATGAAACACTGATGCTCCCTAATGGCAGCTTATGGCGAAGGTTAAAGTTTCTCAAATGGAAGTCAAAATGCAAGTCAAACTCCAGGTTAAAATTTTTCAAAATTAAAGTAGGTGAAACTCCAAGGTCAAGGTCAGAAGGTCAAAGTTCTTGGTATCCAAAGAAAGGTCTTGTCACAAGAAATACACATGTGAAGTATAAAAGCCATAGCACCAACTGTTCAAAAGTTATGGCCAAGGTTAAAGTTTTTTCAAAAGTAGGTCAAACTCCAAGGTCAAGGTCAATGGCTCAAAGTTGTTGGAATCCAAAGGATGATCTTATCAAAAGGAATGCACATGTGAAGCATGAAAGCCCAAGCACCAACTGTTCAAAAGTTATGGCCAAGGTTAAAGTCTCATAAAATTTTGCAAAAGTGGGTCAAACTCCAAGGTCAAGGTCAAGAGGTCAAATATTTGGGTACCAAAAGAAAGGTCTTGTCACAAGAAATACACATGTAAAATATGAAAGCCATAGCTCCAACCAATTAAAAGTTATGTGCAAGGTTAAAATTTTTCAAAATTAAAGTAGGTAAAACTCCAAGGTCAAAAGGTCAAATTTGTTGGTCTTGTCACAAGGAATACACATGTGAAGTATGAAAGCCATAGCACCAACTGTTCAAAAGTTATGGCCAAGGTTAAAGTTTTTTCAAAAGTAGGTCAAACTCCAAGGTCAAGGTCAATGGCTCAAAGTTGTTGGAATAAAAAGGATGATCTTATCAAAAAGAATACACATGTGAAGCATGAAAGCCCAAGCACCAACTGTTCAAAAGTTATGGCCAAGGTTAAAGTCTCATAAAATTTTGCAAAAGTGGGTCAAACTCCAAGGTCAAGGTCAAGAGGTCAAATATTATGGTACCAAAAGAAATGTCTTGTCACAAGAAATACACATGTAAAATATGAAAGCCATAGCTCCAACCAATCAAAAGTTATGTGCAAGGTTAAAATTTTTCAAAATTAAAGTAGGTAAAACTCCAAGGTCAAAAGGTCAAATTTGTTGGTCTTGTCACAAGGAATACACATCTGAAGTATGAAAGCCATAGCACCAACTGTTCAAAAATTATGGCCAAGGTTAAAGTTTTTTTCAAAAGTAGGTTAATCTCCAAGGTCAAGGTCAGTGGGTCAAATTTGTTGTATCCAAAGAAAGATGTTGTCACAAGGATTAAACATGTGAAGATTGAAAGCCCAAGCACCAACTGTTCAAAAGTTATGGCCAAGGTTAAAATCTCATAAAATTTTTGCAAAAGTGGGTCAAACTCCAAGGTCAAGGTCAAAAGGTCAAATATTATGGTACCCAAAGAAAGGTCTTGTCACAAGGAATACACATGTGAAATATGAAAGCCATAGCTTCAACCAATCAAAAGTTATGGACAAGGTTAAAATTTTTGCGGACAAACAGACAGACGGACGGACAGGGCAAAAACTATATGCCCCCGAATCTTCGATTACGGGGGATAACCAGCACTACTACCAAACTCCAAACACTATATATTTACAATGTTACGTGTTTAATTTGAAGTTTATAACCAGTTGTAAAAAAAAGAAATCCGGACCGCTATGAAATACGTCCGGTCTCTCGGGTGTACTCTGGTGAAGTGCGATTTACATAATTGAACGAATTAATTATCGCTAATTAATTACGACCAAGTAGTAAATCGTACACTGTCTTATTCTCTCAAAATAGCGATAAAAAGAAACCAAAGAAAGATAGTATGGAAGGGAGATTTTACAATATGAATTTGGATGTATTATACATTTGGAAATGTTTTTAGGAGTGTTTATCGGATAAAAGAAATAATAAACAAAAATGTAAGCAATAATTTTGTGTGTGAGTTGTTCCAGAATTGATAATTTAATGCGAATAAACGGTAAAGTTAACACTATATAGAGAGAATAAACTAGTTTGTTACAATCAGGAATTTCTTGTTCACGTTCATCCTGGTGAAGTCATTTAGTATGCTGATACCATTTGGGCGGAATGACTTCAGTCTGTGCATCCAGAACTTTTCCTTGCTTTTTCTCTGAGCATCGGTCCAATTCGGATTATGGTCAATAACCACTACTGTCATGTCCTCCCATATTGACCTTCAAGGTTAAAATGTTCCCCAACGGGTTCATTGAGTTTCTTGATCTTAATGGTCGAAGGGTGATTATTGATTCTCCTGCGAAGATCTCCCGTTTCCCCAACATACTGTTTGGAACAAACTTTACAACTGAAGAGATATAGAGTCCTGTCAAACAGACAACTGCATAAATCTCATTAGGAAGCAATTTCGCTTTGAGGGGGCACACTTATTTTATATTAGACCAAGAAAAAGTAACTGAGTACTTCATTTTCAATTATTTTCAACATTAATGAGTAAGAAACAGTGATGTCTTTTCAGTAATAATTTTCTCTGTTGCTGATTATTTTTTTATATAGAAAATGTCAGGTACCCTATGTTGAAAATGAACTGGATATGTACATCTTTATATGATACAGTTTTCTTTAAGTCCAGAACCATATCTTGTTATTGTTAAGAGTCTTTGTTAGACAGAATTTTAGCCGATACTTTGCATTGAAGTCCTTAGATTAAGGCTTAAAGCTGAACACGATTCGTTAAAGGAATATGTCCGCCATATTCGATTGGACTCTCGCTATATCTGAGGGCCCCTATATGAAGCCGCTGACTTGGTCACTGTTCAGTGTAATCAATCGTCAACGGTGTAGAAGGACGTATGCTATACAGCACTCGGTAGCGACAAAATATAACTGTGTACATCTTCTAATGCAGGAGAGAAAGATACCAAAGAAACTTACAACAGTTGCACAGGTCAGTGCAGAATACAAACACTTGTAAATACGCGTAACTGCAATAAAATGTAAACAAAGGTAACGCAAGATAACCAGCACGAAAACACGGGTCGCCATTCCACGCCGATACCCGTGACAATAAAGTAGTCAGGTGTAAGGAATGTGAAGAGTATACCCCGGTGCTGATATTGTAGATAGTAATATCGAAAATGGCGTATGCCTATTTACAAGTCGTGTTCAGTTCTAAGCAAAGCCTTACAGTGTTTGTTTTGAAAACACTTATTGAAAAATATTGCAAATCAAAACAAGGGAAGCTATATGCTTGCTTTGTTGACTTTTATAAGGCCTTTGATAGTATAAACCATGCTGGTTTGAAACTTTAACTATTAAAAGCAGGTATTGGCACTAAATTTTACTCAATTGTTAAGGAAATGTATTCTAAAAGCTATTCGTCTATTAAACTGGGTAACAAATTAATTGGTCACTTTCACACATACAACGGGGCTAGACAAGGCGATAACATGAGTCCAAACTTATTCAAAATTTACATTAATGATCTACCAAATTATCTATCAGATTCTGAAAGTTTCCTAAAATTAAACAATGATTCATCTACATCTATTCATTGCCTCATGTATGCTGATGACATGGTACTTCTCTCCCCCCACTGCTGAAGGTCTACAAGAAAAACTCAATATACTAAATACATACTGCAAGGACTGGTGTCTCAAAGTTAATACAAAGAAAAACAAAAATTATAGTCTCCAATTCATCCGGCAAACACATCAAAATCCTCTTCCATCTGAATAACAACAATGTCGAATGTGTTAAACAGTACAAGTATTTGGGTCTGACAGTTAATGCATCTGGAACACTTACTAGCGCTAAAAATGATTGTTGTAACAAAGCCAAAAAAGCCTATTTCAAACTTCAAAAAGACTTTCTCACATTTAATCCATCAGTTAAAACTGTTTTAAATATATCTGACCACACTACTAAACCCATCATCCTGTACGGTTCAGAGTTATGGGGTTTATTTTATCCATCAGCTTCCAAATTTAAGAGAAATCCAAATAAAACATAAGATAAAATATACCAAAGTTTAGAAGGCGAAAGTCTGCATCTTAAATTTTACAAACATTTACTAATGGTTCATGGTAAAAGCAGCAACTTTGCTGTAATATCTGAGCTAGGACGATTGAATGTACACTTTGATGTCATTAAAATTATGTTGCTATATTGGCATAGATTGGAGAATCTAGATGGTGATTTTCCCTTACTTAGTGCATGAGGCTTTTAAATGTTCCAAAACACTACACCAAAATGGAGTTACTTCATGGTATTCTTGTATTAACTTCACACTTAACCATATTGATATTAAACTTAGTAATGTTTTAGGTATGTCACTCCCACAGTTTAAAATAAACTTGAAAAGAATATTACTTAACTTCTATAAAATTACATGGGAAAAAGACAGGAATGTACATAAATATGGTAAATTATCTACCTTCACCTCCCTAAAGACTAAATTTTGTTTTGAACCCTATCTAGATTTTTTAACAAACAATCAACATAGATCAGTCATAACAAGGTTACGAATATCAGCTCACAGGCTTAAAAATGAAATTGGACGATAGCAAAAAATACCTTAACATGAACGAATTTATTCCCTTTGCGATCACAAGGAGATTCAGGATGAAATTCATTTTCTCCTTGTATGTCCTCATTTTAGTGTACAAAGACTTGGACTCATAAATATTTGTAATAATAAATGTAAAAAAAATTTCAGTCTCTATCATATGCTAATCAATTTCATAGGTTCATGACCAATGAAGACCCTGAAATCCTAAGATCTCTTGCTAGAATCCTTGATAATCTACCTTAACTGAAAAAATTAGATATATTTGGGGACGTATATAATATATGTATGGCAATATATCATCTCTTCTGTTCTTTGATATGCGTATATGGAAAGATATTATTATAACATATACAATATGTATATTCGGTATATCTCTTGTAGATGCATTTATCAATGATTATAAAAATAAGCACTGCTCATTATATTTAAGATCAAGTTTGTTCTATCATTTGGATCTTCCTCCTTCTTTTGTTTCATGTTTGTAAATCTTTTTTGCTCCTCCGGGGGCCCAAATTGGAGTAATAAAATCTTGTATCATATATCTCGTAACCTATAGTCTTAATTAAGTTAAAAAATCAATTCATCTTAATCTACTTTGTTATTTCCATAAAGAAACATTTATTTATTTTTCTAATCAGACACTTTATTGTATAAAGTATAAAATTTACTTACAGTCATTTAAAAAAAAAGCAGCAGCCCGTTTTACTTAATATAAGGAAGAAGTGAAAAGTTTAAGATCTGTAATGTGCATGTATATTGACAGCTGATATTCAGATTTTGGATTAATGTTACAAATATTCAATATAATGCATTGTGAAAATGGAAACAAAATAATAAAATTGAAATGATAGCTTTGATCATTTAAATTAAACCCGATAACCTTAAAACGTGTTTAGTTGCAGGGAAGTCCACTAAGCGGAATCTTTGCTACACTGTATATAAAGCAGAACTCAACCCTTAGGGAAGACTTTGCTATGTAGCAATTTTTTTCATGGGGAGTCTTGTTTGTTTTACAACACCGGAATAACTTTTCTATACATGTATATTTTGGATTCTGTACAAGTACCTCAGGTACGAAAGAAGTACATTTAGAGTCAAACAAATACGTGCAAGTGCTACTGTCTTTTGACAGCATCTAGTTCTACATGGATTAGTTCTTCTTTTTTTATTATACCCCCCGCTTGAAAAGCGGGGAATGAATAGTGATGGGGGTGTCTGTCTGTCCCTTCGTCCATCTAGCTGTTTATACGTCCGTCTGTTACGCTTTGAGGGTACCTATTTCTTATCCGCAACTCCTTTTATACCACTGAATAAAATTCAATGAGACTTTCACAGAGTCTTTGTTACATAGTGCCATTATGCACCTCCTATTTTACTTTTTGATCGGACATATATTTCGGGTTTCCAATAGCAAAACATAGACACTGCCATTTTTTCTATAATATTGAGGAGTACCCATCTCTTATCCGCAACTCCTCCTATACCACTGAATAAAATTTAATGAGACTCTTATAGAATCTTTATTACATACATGTAGTGCCATTGTGCACCTCCTACTTTACTTTTTGATCGGACACATATTTCGGTTTCCAATAGCACAACATAGAACACTGTCATTCTTTCTATAATATAGTGGGGTACCCATCTCTTATCCGCAACTCCTCCTATACCACTGTATAAAATTTAATGATACTTTCACAGAATCTTTATTACAGAGTGCCATTGTGAACCTCCTATTTTTCTTTTGACCGGATACTTATTTCGGGTTTCCCGTAGGAAATACTGGATTTTGCCTTTATAAACATATTTGAGGCGAGGGTATCATTTTGTGAGCTCACTGCTCACAGTACCTCTAGTTTAAACTATTACTATTAGTGAAAAGTATGCCTCATAATGCAAATATTTACGTTTATAAGGCGAAAATTTCGCGTTTTAACCCAAAAGTAACACATTTATTTGGCATTTGCGAAGTTTTGTGTCATAACGAGAAAATTAAGTACACGTTTATGTACGAATATGCTTTTGCGTTATAATGCAACAGCTTTGCGATTTTACAGTTCTTTTTTTTTCGAAATTGACGAATATATTTATCCCCTTTTATATAGATTTTTAACAAATCTCAATTGATTGCATTTTTAAAGTTAAAAAATAATCTTTTGCCTTATAACGCGAACATTATATAATACACACAAAACACCAAACATTGCGAATAAACGTGTAAACTTCGCAAATAATTTTTGCAATCTATAAAAGCAAATCCGCCATGACTGGCTTACTCAGTAACATGGCTTGGCGATTTGAAAATTCAACTGACACACGGACAAAGTACAATCTTCGTCAGACTGATTTGACGACATGTTTAAGGTGTTAAGTAGTCTTTATTCTTCATGCACAACATGTAAATATTTTAACAAACTATTACATGTATCCTATCTTTTTCAACATATTCATCAGTTTTAAATATATGCAAACAAGTATTTAAAGAAAGTGTCTCCATTCTTTATCACAAGTTGTACACGAATCCTCAAATAAATATTTAGGAAGTTGAGTAAAGCATACCCGATTGTAACACAGGAACGCTTGACTCATTTTACTAGAGGTTCTTTAAAACTTTTACAATAAAATTTCATGAATATTCAGCAAAAGATAACCATTTATTGATTTTATTTGACATTGATTTCAAAATACCCGTGAATTAGGTAACCAAGGAATTTTTTAAAAAATTCTCGCCCACTATAACAATTATATTACTAGATTTAGTACATAAATAAAGGAAGGGGGACAAAAACGTTCATTCTTTCTATTGAAAGGGAATTTGGATCCAGGGCACCGTTTGTCATAGCATAGAAATAAACTGTCATTTTGGGAATATATTGTGTGAAACTATTTATTCAATGTTACATTGTCATACTCTTTCTTGGAGTTTTCCATGAAAGCCTTCCTTCTTTTCTCCTGCCTATTGGCGTCTCTAAGGGGTTTCCCAGCCTTTGCTCCACTCCTATCTTTTACGCAATCGTTGTTGTTTACCTCAACAACAGTGACATAATCTGAACCTTGACTCTGCTTTAATGTCCCACAACACTTCCCTAGTTTTCCTGAAGAAGTTGATTCTTGTGACGGATCACAGTTTCGCTCTCCATCACACTGGTTGTAATCTTTTTGTTTTTGTCTATATTTAGCTTTCAAATGTCTACAGTAACATGTAAAAGACCTCCAATAAACCTTTTCTAATTCTTCTGAAAGGTTAAGATGACCTTCTCTTAGTGCTTCCACCATACAGTCATATAATGACGGGTTGGCCTTCAACACTTCACATAAATTTGTCCATTGTTTCGTAGAATTTTCACAGTTCAGAATACATTCAGCCACTGTTGCGTCAATTAACTTTTCCTGGTAGAACGTGTCTATGATTTCGTACACTTTCACATTATTTTTTATTCTGCACACAACACATTTCATATTGGAATCGTCATCGTCAATACAACCTTCGTGTAACCTAACATTGTAAGCATCACGCACACGTTTTGCAAGAAGTGGATATGCTTCTTCAAGAGAATCAATAAAATGTTTGAAGCAATGTTCATCACGATTCTGCAACTTAAACAAAAGAGCACGGGATTGGCTGCTTCGGTCATCCTCCCCCGAGCTGGATTTCGTGTTTCGTATCACCTCAGCTTCAGAGGATTGTAAAACTTTATTTTCAACCAAATAGTCCAAAATATTTGTGGTACGTAAATCAATGTCCATTAGTTTTCTATGCTCCTCTTTTAATACTTCTTTATGAACATCAATGTAAAGTGATGGTAGAACTTTGTAAAGAAATTGAAGAAGAAAAGAATTATATCGTACATAGTAAATGGTTATCTTTTTTTTCTTAACTTCAAAGGAATTTTTATGATCTTGCAGGATAAGAATTGTTCTTACGATCTGATAGAATAGACCTGTATGACCCTTCACTGCTACATGTACCAGAGGAAACCGTGGTCCTTTCATCGTGATGTCGCGGGATCCTTAGTGCAGATATTGCATGTAGTCTAATTTCACTGTGGATATCGCTTATTTGGCCTTTGAGTTCTTGAAGTTGAAATAAAACCTGATTAAGGGTGTTATCCGACTGAAACATGAAAAAAAATCAACAATTAACAACTTTTTCTATCCAATTAAAGACATTACGAATAGATTAATATTACCTGTACGTCTTTAGTCTCCATTGAACACATTTCATTCTGCAAGGATGACGAAGACAATTCACCTTGCTAATAATAAAACAGGAAGTGTACAGGTGTGTTTTCATACATTTTCGATTTTACAGAGAAAAATAAGGTAAATCAGCGTGACGACGCATGACAGTGCAAAACCAACAAGCTAAATATAAGTCATTTTTCTTTTATACAAATTTGCTAAATAAAAGTACACGGATCTATGGAACGCCAAATTAACATATATTCAAATATTTGAACCTATCTTCAATTAATTGTATCTATCTTCAAATCGTTTGTACCTATCTTCAATTCGTTTGTACCTATCTGTAAATGAATTAAAGATAGGTTTAATTCAATTATACCTATTTTTAATTCATTTGAAGATCATAGTAGGTACAAACCAGGGATGGGGTAATTGAAAAATGTAATTGTAATTGACTGTAATTAATTACATTTTTTGAAGTAATTGGAAGTAATTTGTAATTGACCATTTTTTCAATTACTTGTAATTGTAATTTAATTAATTACACTGAAAAAATACCCTGTAATTTCAATTACTTTTTCAATTACATTCAATTACTTTATATAATACACATTCATGATATATTCATGATATATCATCACCACTACCTCCCCATTTTACTGGTTTTTATTTTATTGTTAAAAGTATCCTCAATCCTTCAATTATACAAAATCTTAGGTTAATGCTTACAGAAAAATAATTAAATGATTGGCTTGATAATAATAAACTAGTTTCTTTCTAATCATTATGTAATTTTTGAATTTTTTGATCTAAGTTTATAAATATGAATCTTGAACCACCCTTCTTAGGTCTATTCAGCTATGAAACACACATTTATTATATTTCAATCTTTGTTGTTTGATCAATAATAAAGAAAAAGAAGGTGTGTGTCATTAATTAAGTTCTCTCTTGTTGAGAAGAGATAATTGCCCTCCAGATCACAGCTTTAAATTGCAATCAAAACAAATTAACTCCTCTACAGAGATATTCATTCCATGATTTAGAAGACAAAGCCAATGAAGATAATTATTTCAATTTAAAATGCTCCGCTATAGCTTTAGAAAAGAAAAACTTTTAATTTGATAATTATTTTAACATCTAAACAGATTTTTATGAGTGAATTTTCTATCTGTACAATTCTGATTTATGAAGTAAAATTGTTCAACATAAATAGCAATTAAGGATGTTCAGTTTACCTTCAAAGGAAATATTTAATTTGAGGGATACAGTTGCGACTCATTTCACTCTATTAAAATACTCACTTTTAATCAATTATCATAATCCATGCAATTTGTGTACATGTAGGTTTTGTGTGGTGGAAACTGTATCAAATTAACTGATCTCGGATAGTTCTTTAAGAGATTCTCATTGTTTTGTAAATAAATGTTATAAATTGAACCACAATGATACACAATGCCTATAGCATATTATTTCTTGTACTGTTTGTGCAGAGGCTGAGCTTATATACAAATAAATGATGTTCTGTATATTCATTGACAAGGATTAAAAAAATATTCAAAAAATTAAAAATGTAATTTGTAATTTAATTAATTACTTTTGCAAAGTAATTGTAATTTAATTAATTACATGTCTTAGAAAGCCTGTAATTTAATTGTAATTTAATTGAAGAAAAAGTCAAAGTAATTGTAATTTAATTAATTACTTTTTAAAGTAATTGACCCCATTCCTGGTACAAACGATTTGAAGATATGTACAATTGATTTGAATATAGGAACAAATTTGCAGTTTAGGTCAATGAAAATGAACTTGGTGTTCAGTGGTTTGGGAGGAGAGAGAAAGAATGAAAATACACAGGAAAAGCTGCGTCAATTTCTCTACAACGATTGGGAGGTTACGCATCACGTAGAATTTAGTAATGTACATCACTTCGGACGTTTCTCTAAAGGGAAAACCCGACCAATTGTTGCTCGCTTTCTGTATCAAGAGGATCTTGACATGGTTCTGGAACGATCAAGCTGGCTACGGGGAACATCCTTTGGGGTACATAGACAATACCCAGCGACCATGGAAAAACGTCGACGGGAGCTCATACCAATCATGCGTCAACTTCGTAGCGAGGGGTCGCATGTCAAACTTGTGCGCGATAAGTTATTTGTGAACGGTCTGCAGTATGACCCGGACAATCATTGCTATTCAGAGGAAGAAGAATGGGAAACGAATGATCCTATGGACTACGATACGAACACAAATAATTACCATAGCTACACTTCAACGCAGGGCACTGCAATGGGTTTCAGATAGGAGTGCGTGGCCGCTACATCCAATCAGCATGATGTTCTTCATCTTGATTGCGGCCGCATCAATCCTGTGACTGAACAACATTGTAGAGACAGAAAGGTCAGTGACTTCACCTCTAACCTTTCTTTTATAGTGTGGAATGTAAATAAAGGTATTAGACAAAAGCTGAAAGATAAAGAGTTTGTAAATATTGTAAATAAATATGATATTATAGTTCTTTTGGAATGCTGGATCTGTGCAGGTGATGAATCATGTATATATTTAGATAAGTACAATTGTTACACTTTTCCTAGAAATTGTGGAAGAGGGGGAGGAATTGTCATTTTTTATAGAAACATGCCTAGTATTAATGTTAATATCGTAGAATGTTTTTGCAATACTGTTATCTGGCTAGAAATTATAAAGGGGTCAAATGTAAATGAAAAGCCTATTTATCTAGCTTCTTGCTACATACCACCAGAAAAAAGTACCTTCTATAAAAAGGAAGATGTAGATATTTTTCAGTATTTAGAAGAAACAATTTGAAGATTTTCTGGCAAGGGAAAGGTTTATTTAACTGGGGACTTAAATGCTAGATGTGGTAATTTAGATGATTTTATAAGGAACGATATGATAAATAAATCGGTATCAGATACTATGCAAGTTTTTACTGATTACGATTTAGATACAAACGAGTCTACAAGAAATGATATTGATAATTTTGTGAATAATTTTGGTAGAAAACTGACAGACTTGTGTAAAACCACTGGCATGCGAATTATTAATGGAAGACATAAAAATGATCTACATGGGGGTATCACTTTTTATGGTGCAAATGGTATGAGTACCATTGATTACCTAATAACAAATAGTGAAAACGCTAGTAATATTGTAGATTTTACTTTAGGAGATTTTACTGTTTTTTCAGACCACGCACCAATTATTTTTTCTCTAAATGGGTCATACAAAGAAAGTGATGTTGTTTGTGATCAAGAGCAGTCAGGTAGAACGGTTTTTAAATCAGTAAAATGGGTAGAAGAAAATGTAACACAGATAAATACTACTCTCAGTAGAGAATGTTCTTTCTGACGTATCCGTATAAGTATCCGTATCCGTATACGTATTGAGGTGAAAGAGGCATCTCGATCCCGATGTCTAAACTTTTTACTATAATTTCCATCGTTATTTGTTTGGATTTAAAGCAGCCCCATTCATTTAAGAATAACATATGGTATTTTTTCTAATAAAAATGTATTAAGCTGCTGTAAACGTCTATCACTAGAAAATTTTTAAAAAGTAGATAATGAAATAAAATAAATTTGTATTTGTTTTCATTATATTGTTTAAAACTTTAATTGCAACTTTGTTTAAAAACATTTATCGGGATCCCCCTCTCTGCATCCTAACATCAGGATATTTTATTGATTGATTCTGTAATTTACATTAGATGACATAAAAGTTACCACCACCCCCCCCCCCCCCCCCCACTCACACACACACTAAAATGCAAAAGACGTTGATATCCAGACAATCAATAAAACAGTGAAGCCGCTTCTAGACCCTTACCAGTATATGCTAAAAAATGCCAAGCCCCCCCCCCCCCGCCCCGGGAACACACACAAACTTTCATAGCGTTTGTTGACTTTCTTCATTCTTTTTTTTCAATGTACTATTTGACAAATACCTGTATGTCTCCCATTCCCCTCCCCAGTTGAAATTGCTACTTTCGTGCCTATTCTCATACAGCTTGATTTTGCTTTATATTTTGTCCTTTCAGCAGCATTAACTTAAAGACTTCATGGCGACAAAAAATAAGTAATGAAATGAAAATGCAATTGTTAAATTTGATTTTTCCTTTTAGTTCTCTTGTTGTCGTACATGTGTATTATAATTCATGGTTTGATATAGAAACTGTTTCAGAATAGGGTATTCATTATCTTAACTCTCTTTTTATAAGTAGGAAAAGAACATTAGGCTAAAAAATGCCAAAACAATAGACATCTATTTCTTCTATGCTACCTTGTCCATCCAGCTGATTTTTATTTATTTATTTTATTTTTATTTATTTATTTATGCATTTTGGCCCAGATCGGGACAAGTGTGAGTCAATTCAACACGCAGTTTATAGAACTGAAGAGAAGAGGCTGCTTCAACGTAGTAGAGAAATAAAAAACAGAATAAAGGATAAAATTTATACAAAACATTTAACTGATAAAATATCAGCATTTTTTTCAGAGTTTTGATCCCGCTTGCACACAAAGAATTACAGTCATCTTAATTTCAATAAATAAATCATTAAGTAAACTTTAGTCAACATGTATATAAAGTAATGTATAAGACATAAACATTGTTCTCCGTTTATCTCCTTTTGTCGACTATTGTTATTCATCCCCGACAAAAACTGCGTGTAATTGTATCACTTTTGGAAATGGTAGTCCTTTTCAAGCTCTCTGGAATTTCGGATACGGCTATCACCTAACAATTTAGAGAGTTAAGAGTCTTCAAACCACCCCAGAATTGCCAGCTTTCCAAAGCTTTTCTGGAGAACTATGTCCATCAAATATAATCAAATGATATACAGAATGTTGATAATGATAAAAAAGAAAATGAGGATGGAAATTTTCAGTGACTCCCCCCCCCCCAACACACACACACACACACATACACACAGAGTATGCAGTATGGTCAAATTAATTTTTCACAGTTAATGCATCCGTAATTATTTTTGTGGAAAAGAGGAACTCAAAACTTAA